TACTTGTTTTTCCTTTATTGATATGATATTACCATATACATTAATTACCATATTATTGATGCGATATTACTGTATCCATGAACGTGCCATTGAGCATTTACAGCAACCTTGTCCACTGCAAGCTTCAAATCAGCAGCCAAGTAGCATTTATTCTGTATCTGTAAGCTTACAGGACGGCTTGTAATTTCACACCATTTTAATTGGGTTAAGTGAATTTACTATAAAAAAGATCATGAAAAACATACCTGAAACAGAAAGGAATGTTTTAGTGACAACCATCATATGTTTTGGAGAAATAAATCATAGTTTAGGTCAATTACTTTTCATTCCATGATGCCAGGTGCACAATTCTATATATGACATTCTATGCACAATTTCGTGATGACTGATGAAACACAAATTTTTCGATAAGTGAAATTTTTTTCGCTGAGCGAGGTAATTGTAATCAATATTCTTTGTTTTTAATCCGTTTTTTTCGTAACTGGAGCCTCTGCTAACTGAGATTCTACTGTAAATGCGTTTTTGGGGGTATCCCGAATAGCCCTGGGGGGGGTGTCCCAAGTTGCCCTGCTGTGCGGAAATGGCCGCCATTTGAATTGAGGTATGTAAATTCTGCAAATAAAGTTTTCATGCTGACACTTGTCTGCCACTTTTTTCTAAGCGCAATTTTTTAATACGGCAAATATTTTTTTACTACAGACCTTAGCAGAAGTAACTTTTCAAAATATCGTTTTTCACCATTTCTTTCAGGAATTTTTCTTTGCTAGTATATGTAGTATTTTTTAATTTCCTTTATACTACATAGATAGGAAAAATGTTGAAGTTTATGCCACTATATTTAGTTTTGCAATATTCCAATTAGTTTTGCTACCAAAACAGTTTTATGCCTTATCGGAGGACCGTCCCGAGTTACCCCGCCCGTCCCGAGTAGCCCCGGTTGACGGTATCTTATAGAAATGCTAAATTCACACTAGTTTTCGAACTGTGCCAACTGAATAGATTATAATAATTTAGATAGTAACAATAAAACAGTACTATCACAAAATTTGTCTAATGTCCAATGATACAGTAAGATGCATTGTAGACATTAAAAATTCTTCCTTATAACCTCAAGTCCCCAATAAGCTTTAATCGTTTTGTACGGTATATCATTATTGACTGTACTGATTTCATGGATTTTTATTCTACATCCATAAATTATATACCGGTACACAAAAAAAATTCATCAGAGCTCTTCTTTACCTTATAATATAATCAACAATTTCATGAAATATGGCAACAGGTTTTGCAACAAGATCTGTACCACAAATAGGATGCAAAAGCAATATTTCATTCTAGTTAGATGAAAATAAATACTACCGGTACATTAGAAAGCAGTCAATTTTCACAGCTCATGCCCAGCCAGCTTTCCATGAGGTCAAAGACATTATTATCAGAAGTGTGTTTTGTAATGTTTAAGCAATAGATAGATGGGTAGTCACAGCTACTGAATCATATCAGGAAGGTCCTTATACAATTTTAAGCATAGAAATTTTTTGCATGGTTAGGTACCTTTGTACAGTAAAAACTTTTTGCTATAGATGGCCAGAGTGGCAAGAATTTCCTTTCTGAGCCAGTATAATGGACAACCCTAGAGGTAAGAAGTTCAATTAAATCATACTATATGTAAATTGTTGATAATAAAACTGCAACATTGAATCAAATATACCACTAATTTACAACAAAATGTAACTTAGCAGCTGGAAGATTCCACTAATCATTTGAACAACTTCTACCTTTGATCCAAAGGGTCCAATAATTTTCTGTTCTTAGGTAGGAGACAGGACCTAAAAAATATATATAACTCCATACTCACTGCATTGAGTGACAGAGAGCGCATTTTCTCCTCAATGTCTCGAAGAAAACATGAAGTCACGGATGGACAGACGGACATGGCAAGCATAATAGTGTATTTTTTCCATAAATATGGAAATGCACTAAAAAAGATAATTGAGTTGCTACTGATCCAGTACTGGATTTTATCAACCATTCTCTTTTTTATGTAGAATAATACCATGCTGCCCAAAAACAACTATTGTAGTTAATAAGTAACATAAAAAAAGATTGAAGCTTTTAAAATCATATACCGTAAAATGGGGTAACTTAGACTGGCGGGGTAACTTAGACCACTTTTCGTTTTTTTAACAAAAACCCCCAAAACTCAAAAACTATTTGCCATAGAAAAATTTTGTCAATGGTCATTAAAGGCCTAATACTGAGGCTACATAACACAATAGAAAGATTTAAAAAGTTTGCATATCTAATAGGTTAAAAAATTAAAAATGTTGCATATCTAATAGGTTAAAAAATTAAAAATGTGACCCATGAAAAAAACCTATTATTTAAAGCCTGTCAGAGTATCCCCTTCAATTTTTTTTTCATTTTTTGGTTAAATAACTCCAGGTTTTGATGCATTGTAGTAGAACTCTTCTAGTTACATATGCAAATGACAAATTTTAGGAAAATGTCATAGTTTGCAAATGGGGGGCACCGCCCCCAAATGGGGTAACTTAGACCACCTAATATCAGCCCTGAAGGGGTAACATAGACCGGCTTGGAAGTTAATATAAAATTACCATATATAACATATTTTATGTTTGACAGCCTATTTATGTTTTTTCTTTATGTTTCAGACTCTACAGAGTCTTATATATGGTAATTTTAACTTAATTTCCAAGCCAGTCAATATTACCCCATCAGGGCTGCCATTAGGTAGTCACATTTCCCTCATTATGGGGCGGCGCCCCCCATTTGCAAACTATGACACTTTCCTCAAGTTTGTCATTTGCATATGTAACTAGAAGAGTTCTACTACAATGCACCAAAACCTGGAGTTATTTGGAGTTATTTTAGCAAAAAATATAATTGATTTTACCACCCGGTCTGAGATACCCCAAGAGCTGGGGTAACAAAGACCATCAATTTTTTTTAAATTACATAAAGACTATGAGAGGCAGGAGCCAGCAATTTATGGTGAGTGAAGCTAGAGTATAGACCTGATTTTGCATGTTTCAATTCAAGTTTAATTTAGCTAGTAAAAAAATGGCATCATTTATAAAAAATGGTCTAAGTTACCCCATTTTACGGTACTGAAATTTTGTGTGAAAAGGAATCTATCAATTTCCCTAGGACTGGGGACCCTAGGCCTAGGACAGTAACCTAGGTATATACACATTGACATACCTAGGTATATGAATAGCTAATTTCACTCAGTCATCAGTCCTATGGTCTTTTCCCGATTTCTTTAGTGAAAAGTAACAAAAAATGCTATTTTCTGAATGATATTTTTGAAAATTATCGATGAAATTATGGTTTTTGCCCCCAATTTTAGTAATTTTCTGCCAGATATTCCAAATTGGCTAGTGGCAGTATCATCCAAATTGCCATTGGGCCATTCTGCCATTGGGCAGTACCCCAGGGGCAGAGTATCATTACTTATCATTGAGGCTTGATGGCAGGAGATATTTCCAAATTCCAAACAAGGGTGAAAAATCTCTACCATCAAGTGTAACTGACACAGTGAGTCAGTGACACTTATATTATTTGCAGCCTAGAAAAGGAATGTAAATATTTTCTTTTCCATACAAATAAATGATGCAATGATGATACATGACATAACCAATGCAGGAAATATAATGGGGAGTGCGGACAACATAAAATATTAAAAAAAATCTTTTTAAAAAACATGTTTTTCTTGTGGACTAAAAAGTAGAAAATAAATTATGGCTCTCCCCAGAAAAACGTGTGTCAGGCAGATTTATGCCACACTCAGGATGATGTATGTTTTCGGTGAATTTTCCCGCGCATTTTCACTTTTTTTAAGCTATTGCTGTGCACAGTTGGCGCAATGTAATGAAAATTGATTATCTTCGCGCACGTGTTCGCGCAGTCCTGGCCATCTTTATTTTAGAAGAAATTTTCTCCAAAGTCATATGGCAACACTGAACACCGTCTGTTTACATTTTGTATGTATAACAGCCGCAGTTTAAATTCAAATTCGGTCCACCACGCCCCACGGCCAGTGTAGCTGTCAGCTGACTTTCTTCAGAAGTGCAAAAGCTTTTGCCGGTGAAGGTGTTTTACGATCGGTCCGTAAAGAAGCGTTGATCGGTTCAAAATGACATAAGAACAGGTTCTTTTGAATAACCTATGGATTGCCACCATGGCGCACGGCGCATTTTTTTACCAACGTAGTACGGCGCACCGCACAGGTCGTTAAAATGACAAAATAAATTTCCGCGTACCTGGCACTGAGTGGCACATCTTCCTGACCATGGGATTTATGATTAAAGCAAAAAGCACACAAGACACGAATTTTGGAAATTTGATAGTGAATGTACAGCCCGACCCACGTTTTTTGGAGCCTAGGCAAGCCATTATTTATTTTCTACTTTTTAGTCCACAAAAAAATGTGGTTTTTAAAAAGATTTTTTTTAATATTTCATTTTCTACTTTTTAGTCCACAAGAAAAACGATTAAGATTTGATTAAGTATGACTTGACGTTGACGACGTACGTCAAGTTGACGTACGTATCGATGATACCGTATTGATACGCAGCGTCAGCGCCTGCTCGTCTATAACGTCATACGTCAGCGCCTGCACATCATACTATAATTATGTACTTTACTCAATTAAGCTAATTTAGGTCTCTAATTGCTAGTTTTTATGATTGTATATGAAATTGTTTGGCGAAAATAGCCTGCATGCCAAATTTCTGATCTCTAGACTCTAGAGCAATCAGAAGTGGGCTAATTTTCGCTGTCAATGTTAACAACAAGTCAACAAACAATTTGAAACAAACAAACGCGATGCTGAATAAAGAAAAACGTGTTAAAAAATCAATGGAATACACTATAACTGATGTTAATGTGGTAGATAAGAAAATCAGTGCCATCGGTGGAACAATAATATCATTTGAGTTTTCATCTCTAGACAGTCAAACTCAGTTTAGCTAACTCACCCGTGCCAACATCTTCTCTGGCGTAGAGACAACAAATCACGCAATGTGCTATATCAAAATATGGGAACATTTTTAATTTTGTGACCTGATTGGCCAACTCTAAAAATGCCTCGGGATCCATGATGGCACACCAAATTTAGATATGTAGTTAAAATATGACGATCCCTCTCAACGTCTCTCACACTGGCCCCAACCGCCCACAACCAACTCTCACGACGTCCGGACAAACACTGACTCGGACTAGGTGAATGGTGATGGCACTGATGCCATCACCGTGATGGTGCCAAGAAAAAAGCAGGAAGATGAAAGTAGCGGAATGGTCGGTGCCATGGTTGAAATGGTCGGTGCCATGATTTAAATGTTTAAACGGGGATACCCATGGTTGAATTAATAATGTTATTTAACCATGGGGATACCCATGGTTGAACCATGAGGATACTATGATACTTGATTCATTATATCAACGGGTAAAATACTCATAACATAACATAACATAGTGATGTCGGCGCTGAAGTGTAGGCCTGATGTGGCCTGTCGCCGATTCTTTTCCTTTTCGTGCCTTGTTCACAGAAGATCTAATATCGTGTTATTTGCCAGGATCTTTTCATGAATGGCGATAGTTTGAAGTAGCTACTAGACTTCCACCGGGTTCGATAAGGAGCTAGGCATATCAAATCTGAACATATATTTTTCCATAGCTTTATCTAGTCTGTTCTTGAACGCGTTCATACTTGGAGCGCCAACGATGTCATCGGGGAGGCTGTTCCACATGTCGGTGATTCGAAGCGAGAAATAATTTTGTCGCGTGGAGAAGTTGCAGCGCAAAATGAGGTCCCCACGTAGACGTCGATAACTGAGGCTTGGAAGCTTCATAATCTTCAATCTTTCTTCATAGGACTTGCCCTTCAAGCCTGGAATTATCCTTGTTGCACGTCTTTGAACATTCTCTATTAAATTTCTGTCCTTTTCAAATCTCGGTGACCACACAACGTTTCCAAACTCTAGACTCGGTCGTACGACGGCAACAAACAACTGCTTCATCGTTTCTGCATCTAGGAACTCGTATGAGCGTCTGATTAGTCCAAGAAGTTTGTTGGATGTGTTAGCTTGCGTTTCAACGTGCTTAGAAAATTTCAGCTCCTTGTCGACATAAACTCCGAGATCTTTTTCCACACTTGACTTTTCAATCATTACTCTCTCGTTGCAACCATGTCTTCTCATACTGTAATCTTGCTGTTCATTGTTCTTTCCAAGGTGAAGTACTTTACACTTGTCAGCATGTACAATGAAACAATATTTTACTCTCATCTCTACTTTACATATACTTTTATTGAATTTTGAAAGAATTTCTTCAAGATCTGATATATTAATCTACGATTAAGTTTGTCTAGACTAATTATCTAGTATACATATATGCATTAACGCGACGTAGAACGAATAATAAGTCAGATACTCAAGAATTTTATTCAGAAATTTTGACGGACATCAAGAGGCTCCTCATGATGTCCCGAATAGGGCTGATAAGTGGCAGTTGAGTTTTAACGCTGACAAATGTAAAGTAATCCACCTTGGCAAGAATAATGAACAGCAAGATTACAATATGAGAAGACATGGTTGCAACGACAAAGTCATGATGTCGAAGTCGACAATGGGAAAAGACTTAGGAGTCAATGTCGACAACGAGTTGAAAATTTCTAAGCATATTGAAGCATAAGTTAATAAAGCCAACGATTTTGACTGATCAGACGCTTTTGCGAGTTTCAAGATGCAGAAGCGATGAAGCTGTTGTTTTTCGCTGTTGTGCGTCCGAACATAGAGTTTGGAAACGCCGAGCGGTCACCAAAACTAGAAAAGGACAGAAATTTAGTCGGGAGTGTTCATAGAGGTGCAACAAGGATAATTCCGGGATTAAAAGGTAAGCCTTATGAAGAAAAATTAAAGCTTATGAAGAAAAATTAAAGCTTATGAAGCTTCCAAGCCTCCGTTATCGATGTCTGCGTGGTGACCTCAGTGAAGTATACAAGTATACCCACGGTTTATACAAGGTCCCCGGAGTCCTAGAATTTGAAAGAACCAACACCAGGGCCACGGCTATAAACTAAAAAACTGCGTTATAACACATCCACGCGACAACATTTCTTCTCGCTTCGAGTCACCGACATGTGGAACAGCCTCCCTGATAGCATTGTTGACGCTCCGAGTATGAACATCTTCAATAGCAGACTAGACGAAGCTATGCAGGAGCATATGTTCAGTCTTAAAATGCCTAGCAAATTACGGACCAGGCAAAAAGTCCAGACGAAGCTATGCAGGAGCATATGTTCAGTCTTAAAATGCCTAGCAAATTACGGACCAGGCAATAAGTCCAGCAGCTATCGCAAACAATCGTCAGTTATGGAAAGATCGGGTTCAAAAGGCCCGGTCCCTTGTGAATCAAGTCACGAAAAGTACAAGAATCGGCAACAGGCCATGGGCCTATTTCTTCAGTGCCGACAATTCTATTCTATTAATCTACTGATGTGTTTGTCTAAACGAATTCACTACTTTATATGCATTTAACACGATGTAGAACGAATAAGTCAGATTCTCAGAATTTTATTCAGAAAGTTTGCAAAGTTTGACGGATATAAAGAGGCTCATCACGATGCCCTCAATTGACCGCATCCTTTTAGCGCATTTTCTCATTTATGGAAAAAATGCACTATTGTGCTCGCCATGTCCGTCCGTGACCAAGTTTTCGTCGACGAGAAAATGCGCTCTATGTCACTCAGTGCAGTGAGTACTGAGTTATATTTTTTGTGTATTTAATATCTAACAATAAAATATTGTCTGCGGCATGTGTTACATTGTTATCGTAAATATGCTACAGCCGCTGCTGCAATTTAGGTAGCTACGTTCTAAAGAGGTCCTCTCACTCACGTTTACAGACTCAGAAGCCCAACGAGGTTGAGAGCTTTTCTTATGCTCAGGGAAATGAATGAGACTTTGTTCAGATAGCGGTGAACTTTTTGCCATTGTTTGGCTCATTGATCCTCACCCAATCTGACATGGCAAAAGGGTGTTCCAGTGTTACGTCCGTTTTCTGCTCGTGTGAAGATAGTAGTAGTAGAATGGTTTGCTAGCGCTTCAGCTATCAAGCTTTTTCGCGCCGGAGGTCAAAATGTAACATCGCCAGTAAGGCGGAAGGTCTCAATTGTTCAAAGTCTCGAATTATTCATCACCCACAAGGGGCGGAAGGTCTCAATTGTCCAGCTCGCTGAAGCTGGCTCGAAAGAAGCAGCGTTAGCATCTCAAAGAGACGAAGTGACAAGGAGGGACAGGTGGAAAGCAACAGAAACTAAGACACTCGAACAAGAGGTCGCTTACACGGGACGCCGGTGCCCGCACGAGAGAGACAGAGAAGGGAAATGTAAGGAATCCTACCTACATAATAACTTAACCCCACAACTGAGACCTACAGTCAGACACCGCGAGCTCAGCGGTGGGGCGCTCAGGAACAATCCCCCTAGGAGCGCGAAATCCCATAGGACTTCTGACGCGCACAGACACCCGTCAGAAGTCCCCCCCTAAGGAGTCATAATATACAATAACAATAAATTTCATAGCAATGAAATTTCCAAGGATGAAATAAAAGTCGCGTCTAAAACGGTGTTATATTATGTGTACACAACAGCATGCAGGATAATAATGTCAAGAACAACACGTACACAGCCTTCGATTTCACGGTCATCCAAGACTCGTGTGATACCAAAACAGCACCGAAAAAACGGTCGTCATGTTCACCTTTACTTCGTAACACACATGAAATACAATGTGAATGCCGTCACTCATTGATTAATGTCACGTCATACAGGAAAAATTACCTACTGTTTATATATGCGTAAACAGCCAGAGTTTACGTACTGTTTATATACGCGTAAACAGCCAGAGGTTACGTGCTGTTTATATACGCGTATACAGCAAGAGGTTACATACTGATAATATACGCGTAAACAGCAAGAGGTTACATACTGTTTACTTGTATACAGCAAAAGATTACGTACTGTTTATATACACGTAAACAGCAAGAGGTTACGTACTGTTTACTTGTATACAACAAAAAGTTACGTACCATTTACATACACTTACACAAAAATGGTTAAATACTGTATACACACGTAAATATCACTAGTAATAGTCGAGGCAGCGGCAAAGAAAATCCCTCATGAAGCATAGCACCGACGTTTAAAAAAATCTTATAAGTTACAGTAAATAAACTAGTCTTATGACATTGATACAAATTGCTGAATACTAACAGCAAAACTTATGCAAAATAACCACAGAGAAAATATAGTACAAAATAAAATAAAGAGAACTTACATCTTAGATTCATTACAGATATTTCTTCAGCGTGTTACTCTTCGAACGTTGGAAGGAATAGCAATGTAATAAAGCAAGTTGCTACGAGACGGCCTTCTGACCAAAGAGACAATTAGTAGAACCTGTAAGATTCATGTAAAAAAAGTCCAGGCATTTTCGTGATAAAGTATACCGGCTTACTGGGGGATAGTTCATCATTCTTAACAACTTTTACAGGAAGGCATGCTCACTAACTGTACTCTTACACAAAACTCATTCATTGCTCGAGAATAAATGGAGAATAAACAGTACTGAAGAACACACAATCCCAATTGATTCAATTGAACACTTTCGTGCAGTGACAGTGCAGAGTTCAAAATAATGGTCAAAAATAGTTAATAGCCGTCAATTAACTTCTCCTCAACAATATAATAAAAAGTATACAAACATAATAATGTGGTTCAAGCAAGTCTTCAGCTTTAGTCATGAAAGCAACGAGAGTGAGAAAAATGATAACCGAAAATGAATTGCATATTCAACAGGATGAAAATATCATAACTAAGAAAATATGATCGCAAAGTATTAATATTTGCTATGACAAATATGACAGCATCAATATTTTCCACTGGGGAAATAGATTAACTATCGTGACTGTCTGTGTTGTTTAAAAACTGTTAAAAATTAAAAAATAATTCCCTATTAACAGAAGTAAAAGTTGGCACAATTAAATTTGTTGCCGAGGTCGAATTGACCTACAACTTATTGGGTGGTAACAGCTGCTTCTAAACGCGTACAATATTTCATTGGGTCTACGGAAAAATTGTGAAAAATTTGCCAGACAAGATTTTCCTTTAGGCACTAATTATTCAAGCCGATTTGTTCAGAGCGGCAGTCCAGGGAAACATCAAACGGAGATGTGGTTTGTCAACAGACAACTTGACAGTCAACGGTAGCTGACTCTTCTAAGTTACTGAACTAATTAGAGTCAATAAGTAATACTCTTTACCATTACTTATGTCGCGTATTTAAACAGAAAATGTGGGTTTTTTTGTAGCATAGGAAAACAATTGAGGCATCGTAAGTCCCTCATTTTATGTGTCAAGAGCAGAGCATTTTCACAGCAAGTTTAGCTGCTTTTAATTTCTAAAATTACGCGAGTTGTCAGCACATCATTTCTGTAGAAACACATGTTACAATTTTATCACTTTGTGCGCAATACGAATCAATCGAATGAGACTAAGCATAAACAAGCATGTGGCAAGTAATAAACTTAAATTTGTCGATAATATTTACGCCAAAAATGATCGGAAACAAACGGGTTTGTTGCCCCCTTGCAACTAACAACAATGATTTAGAATGCACGGGCGCATTTTCCAAAAATTTGCAGATAAATCATTCACCACATCGGGTGATGATGGCTTATGTACCCTTCACAAGAAAAAAATTATCTAGTCAATGATATTAAGAACAGCAGAATAAATCTGACACCACCAAAAAATGAAAAAAAAAAAAAACAAAAATTACGTAGAACAGAAAAAACGGCACGAACAAATGCTAGTACGTCAGGGCATATCAATTGAAGTTCGTTCACAGAGCCACACGTTGTGAAGGAGCGTGAGCGCAGCCCAAGAAGGAGGCAGAGGCAATGGTTGCAAATAGAGCACTGAGCTGATTTATTTGTAGTCTCTTTAACAAATTGGAGATCACCGCATAGAAATATAAAAGAAGGGCAGTTAACCGCAGATGTAGGTATGGGTAGCAGTCGTCTTTAAGACGACTGAACAGTTCCAAGAGTTCGGGTGTCTTTCTCCTCAGACCGCTGAACAGCTCAGCGGTATTGACTATGTAAAGCTGCCAGATAATTTGATTATTTGCACACGAGGACGTGAGGCAAACCAAATAAATCAGTATGTATTTGTATATTACCGATGAGAAGTTAAGTGAGACTTGTTCATGATATCAATAGAGCTGAACAGAGAAGTGGAGTGCGATAGATAGAATTGATGAAGAGTGAAACTCGGAACTTGCGACTGAACGTAGAATAGAAGCAATTAAATGAAGCTCGAGGAAACAGTGTAATAAATTCACGAGAAATGAAAGATCAGTTAGTGAAGATCATTATAATCTACTCAACTGAACCATGTGCAATAAATTCATAAAAATTGTAACGAAAGCACCCGCCTACAAATCGATATGCTTTAATGATTATTTACAAAGCTTAATTAAAACCAGACTTTTGCGTGGGCATAAAAATTAAAGTATTCAAAGGACATCGAGAGCATTTAAATGCAAACCAATTACACAACACACTGCAGATTATACACATCACTGTGAGATTGTTCCAGTTCAACGAAACATTGCTTTTAACGTAAGAAACGGCCCCTGAAGCAGCTTTTAACATAATAACGTGATGCAAATGACAACCTTTCTGGTTGCAATTGTCAATACATAGAGTAGTACAAGAATAGATCCGCTCTCAATCTGTTCATTTTTTGACGCGTACATTTTGCGTAACCGAATTATGCGTTTGAGGAGGTGCCGTAATTCTCTATGCGATAATTATATTCAGTTGGGCATGTTGTACTCACACCAGCAGAGCTCGTGATAACAAAGTGTTGTTCTGATGAGTTATAGCGTCACAATTATGCATTCAAGATATGTCATCGTGACGTCAACTGCGAGGTCGGTATGACCTATAGTGAGGTCAATATGACAACACTATTTTATGAGTCATAACGACGCGTGATGACATAACTGGAGAACAATTATGCCACACATGCGCGTCATGAGAACATATTCTGACGTGATTATGACGGTTTAAAGGAGAGGTACATAACTGGAGAACAATTATGACGTACACGGGCGTCATAAGAAGATATTCTGACGTGATTATGACGGTTTAAAGGAGAGGTTGGAGGTTGCATCTCTGATGACGGCGCGCACTTCATCAGTGAGGTTGGCCATGACGTGCTGGACGGTCTCGGGGGGCGCCGCCCTCTGGAACTCCATGAGAGCGTTGCCAAAAAACCCTTGCAGAGGGAAGTTATGCACAGGATCAATCCTGGCGAGAGCATGACGCCGTTTGCTGTGCTCGCAGTCAGGGTCGACAGCTAGCGGGTCCTCGCTGTAGGCGACCCTGGGGGCATCATCGTCCTCGGCGAGGGCGGCTAGGTAGCTCGGGTCCACCGCTGACGAAGAGGACGCTGAAGAGTTCGCTTCGTCAGGCTGAACTGAGCCGTAGTCGCTGTCACTTATCACCTGTCGTCACAAGGCTGCGTTAGTATACACGTTAATCATTGCATTATTATTCCATCTATTATCAATACATAAGGGATTTCTTCGTTCAAATATATATGCTGCAGCTGTGAATAAGTTAAATTAATTGTACATAATATTTATCAAGTATATATTTTATTGACATGATATTCCTACATGATTAAAATACTATGCTCAAGTGCGAAATTAATCGAGGGTATTAGACAAAAAATAGGTAATCTAAATAATAGTTTAATAATAATAATAAGTATGCATGGCGCACAAGGATTTTAGTAGATGCTAGACATGCTAGAATAATGAATTTGATTTCAGTCACCACAAACGTACTAAATGGTAGTGAATAACTGATACGTACAGCTAATAATACGAACTCGTAAAAGAAAGAATATTCTAAGCCAGAAGAAGCAGTCGTTATTTGCGTTTGCAGATGCCATGAATTAAAAATAACTCAACACATTCGCCCGTAGTGCAAGTGAACCAACAATTTGTTTAAGCAATAATAATAATATTAGCGAACACATGACTCACAAGTTTGTCCTGTTTGTTAACCTCATATAGGCTATAATAACATTAACAAACACATGACGCACAAGTTTGTCCTGTTTGTTGCCCTCATATAGACTATAACAACAACATTAACAAACATATGACGCACAAGTTTGTCCTGTTTGTTGCCCTCATTTAGGCTATAACAATAACAAACACATGACGCACAAGTTTGTCCTGTTTGGTGTCCTCGTTGGTGACGTCATAGATGACCTCAACGATGGCCTCAGCAGCACGGCTCCAGACGGCCAGGAGGGCGGGGTGATGGACAGCAATGAGGCGGCAGAGGCCGAGGGCGGCCAGCTTACGACGCTCGTCAGGCGTGACCACGGAGAGACGTGAGCACCAGACACGCAGCAGAGCCGTCAGCACCGCCTCGTCTGCCTCCTGCACGTGCTGGCTTATCTGGTGGAGATAGGGCACTTAGTATTGTAGCGGGAAAATCTGTTACATTATATTGTATTGTGGCGGGAAAATGTGATATTTTATATTGTAGCGGGAAAATCTGATATTGTATTGTAGCAGGAAAATGTGATATTTAATATTGTATTGCAGAGGGAGAATCAGATACCTATATTGTTTTGTAGCGGAAAAATCTGCTATATTATAGTGTAGCGGGAAATATACAGTATTGTAGGGGGAAAATGTGATATATTATAACTCACGGTTTCTGCCAGCGGACCCTTACATACGTGGATGATCGTAAACAACGTACAGTCTTGGAAAAAACACAAATATATTTCATTATACGCGAGATTAACTCAACTAATACAAACTTGAGGATAACTTCGCAAACACGAGCCAAGCGATCACAGAATGAATGTCGAAATTAGAACACAAAATTAGGGTCGAAACAAATACACAGATATCAACAGTTCTACCAAATTGTTAGCTTTCACAGAACTGGCGGAGGCTGTCCCCAAGAGGAACCAGCTAATAATTATAGTTCAGGTAGGAAAAGGGCTCCTGATTAGCCACCAGTTAATTCTTAAGAAGAGATTCATACACTTTTTCTTTCTTGTCTTGCTAGGAGAAGTGCAGCGGATTAGAATCAAGATTGCGGCCAAAAGTTGCCCGCTATACTACCTATTCAATCCTGTTAATTACAGAGCTAGAAGATGCGTCAGAAGAGACAGTATTGACTTTAAATTACAGAACAGAAGAAATGTTTCTTGTCGACACTATCTCTTCTGACATATTTAAATTTAATTTTTAATCTTCTGAAAAGAAACCCAAATGAAGCGAATGAGCAATAAGTCCTCAAAGTAAGGCTAAAAAATCATTTGGAGTAATGATAATTAAAATGCAAATAATAATAATAATAATAATAATTTCACACTGCTTGAAAAAAATACATTCATTCGATAAAAAATTATGAATCAATAAAAGCAAGTAAGAGGTTTTATTCAGTTACAAGTAAAAGGCACGCTACGTCACATTTGACGTCGTCCATCACAAGTGTACAGGACTCGATGGTACAGGCAAGTGTACAGGAGACTCGATGGTACAGGCAAGTGTACAGGACTCGATGGTACAGGCAAGTGTACAGGAGACTCGATGGTACAGGCAAGTGTACAGGACTCGATGGTACAGGAAGTGGTACTCACTAGCTGCAGGATTGCAGTGAAGCTGTCGTAATGGACGAGCAGAATCCTGCTCAGCAGGGACAGCTGGGCAGACACCATCATCGGGTAGGTGCTCGTCTCGTCCAGGAGCAGGTCTGGAACACCGCAAATTAATCATTATAATTCTTGGATCATTTTGTTAAGATTTTATTCTACTGATTTTCTACATCTAATTTCCTCCCTAAAAATTTTCCAATATTTGTCTAAAAATAAGTGAATGATATAAAGAATTATTCATTTATTTTTAGACAAATATTGAATATTTTTTGAGGAGGAAATTGGATGTAGAAAATCAATATAATAAAATTCACAACAAATGATTTATTGATTTATACTTAAAAATCAGCATTGACGAATAAATTACAGTGAATATAGAGCAGAGTTATAAATATTAATAGAAAGTTGTTTTCAGTTGAGCAACATAAAATATAGCAGGGAAAAACTTCGCTATACTCAAGAAGATAAAATTAAACTCAACACTAAGTCTAGGGACACACAAACTGTTCCTAACCTAACCTAACCTAAAAGTTCCCGTTGTGAATGAGAGAGATCATTTACTATTTACTACCGCTATTTCACTACCGAAATGTATCATTTGTCCGCGGATGTTTTCATATTTGCCAGGTACAAGAATTGCACGAGGTAAGTTATAAAAGGTCTGACCAGATCAATGACAGTCCGCAGTCGTACGCCGTCAGTCTCATTGTGAGGTTCTACCTGAGCTCACTGACTTCGCTCTGAACATTTGAAAAAAATTAATAGCTTGTTAAAAAAAAATACAGAACAAATTTAATTATTTTCCTGCTGATACCTGACTCCGGAGAAGTTGCCATTTTTTCAAACTTGTGATTTTCTGCAATTAAGAACTAGGTAAGTTACTTTTTGGTAATATGCTCGGAATAAAACTTTAATGAAAAGTAACTAAGAGCAATACGAACTAATGCCATAATAAAAAAGGAATAATAGCTTTGATTGACATGCAATTTAAACAAGATTGCCGGCGTTCTGCTGTGTACTATACAAGCCATCTGAAAAAAATACTGTGTTGCAGCGAACGTCTTGAGGCATTGTAACTATAATATTTGTTACCGATTGTTACTTCCGTCAGCCAATTGCTCACCGTCTTTCAAGCTAAACCCACATACGGTATTAACACTAGAAATCAGCGGCTACGTGTACTTAGGCCGCTACGTACATGTACTTATCCCTATGCGAGTACTCAAGCGAGTTCTCATAGCATGGCCCTGGTATTCAAGAGTTAACCTGCTAGATTAAAAACTGAAATAAGTGCAAGAGAAAACTAGTATCTCACTAGAAGATATTTTGGCGACGAGGGGCGTGACTAGGAGGACGCCATCCACGGAGCAGGTGCGCACGACGGCCTCCAGCATCCTGAGCACCAGCACCAACCCCTCCGCCTTCAGGTCGCTGGCTAGCCCGCCCAGCACCTGTAGCAGCTCACGGCCGTACCTGACCAATAACAGGTCATTAATAGGTGATTACTTAGCTCTGCTAGCAGCTCACGGCCGTACCTGACCAATAACAGGTCATTAATAGGTGATTACTTAGCACCCCTAGCAGCTCACGGCCGTATTTGATGAGCAACATGTGACTAATGGGTGGCAAGAAAATAAATATTTGTAGGCAGGAAATTATCTATGAGAGTCTGGAGTCTAGAGCAAATACTTGTTAACGCAAATGATTATTAACCTGAGGTCGTCATGTGCACTAAAATATTCATAAATGGTTGGTTAAAAAATAAACGCGCTTAAAAAGGTTAATCACGTTCTTCGGTTCGAGGTTACTGGCTACGTTATTATGTAGCTGACAATCACCAATCAACTGTTCATCGTTTATCACCTTTAGCCATGCTTAGGAGGTTGAATATTTGCACTTTGAAAATTCGGCGTTGTTCAGACATCGAAAATTTATGACAGTCTTGTCCCATTCTTTTAATGACGGAAGTAGTACAATATCTTAAATTAATAATAGGAACAAGATGATATTGAATAATATTGAAGTCGGATAGCGTTTCAGTTTTTTTTCTTTATCTGATTTAACATAATAATTGACATTGTAAGTGCATAATCCATATCTGATGAAATTATCAAGTGAGAGTTGCTATTTTTTGCTATAGAATTTCTTCAAATGTTTACACGGTGATTAAAGATGTTAATTGAGGGGAAGAAGATATTAATTGAGGGCAGTAAGACATTAATTGCACCTGTGCAGGAAGTGCGTGGGACAGAGGAGGATGTAAGCTGTGGTGATCTGCGTGCAGCCCTGCAGGTAGTCCGTGGAGGCATCCAGCACAGGCAGCAAGTTAGCGTACAGCTGCAGCAAGTTACTGTGAACTTCAGGCAAGTTGTTGCTCTCTGCGCCTGTAACGCAACCTGCAACACACACAAATTTAGAAATAATTACGCAATAATATGATATCAATTAATTTAACACATTGACTACGATTGCTTCATCTTGTACTATTATTTCATTTTTAGTACTTTTTCTGAGCAGGGTTGCCAGACTGCAATTTTTTCCGGACAAATTCCGTGATTTAGTTTTTCTCAATTGCGTTGGCCGGCTAAAATTTATGATAGGGGTACTTCCTAATTAAATTTTAAATACTGCAAAACAAAAATAAATGGAATTTTTATAGCGGAACCTACAAATAAACTAGTATAAATTGAATTATCGGCCTTTTTTGTTCTTGGATTTGGCCGAATTTAGGCAACCAGAATTATGTACCACTACCTCCTGGAGAAATACATTTCGTGGTACGCATATGTACCAATACGTAGTCAACGTGTTAAAGACACGAGCATTCTTTCATGAGACACATAACAAGGGCAATCCACTATAATACTTGAGTCCTTCTCACCCTCCACCAACTCAGTTTTATATACTAGACATAAGCACAAGCAACTAGTCAAAGATGCACAAGATATCGCCCAAATCCTAAATACTAAACGACAGACTATAATTCATAACAAGACCCCTGACCTCTCAGCACGAACCCCAGTCACTTAATTAAACAAACACACACGCTGATCTTTGACCAGGCGGCCATGTATAGGAAGGCATTTCCTATAAAATTTTGTTATGCAGTTAGAAACAGAACTACAAAATGGCAAAAATGACTGACTCTGTGCAAAAGGCGGCACTGATGCAGGATGCATTTAAGGTAAAAGAAAATAGGTTATGAATGTTCAATAGGTGCGAATTTATAAAATAATAATAAGGCCATCTCTCTAGGCTCACGGAGGACGCCAACAGTCATCACAGACCAGAGCAGACAGGAAATACGCAATTAAGAAATTGTCGCGTAGACAAATTAAAAAAATAACATAGTAGAGTAAGTAAAGCTCCACACGAGCCATGACATCAAAGATATATATACAGGCTGTCATGGCGCTTAGGATCACTTTCTCAGCTAGACAATTCTTCAGACAGATTTAGTAAGGCGGGTATAGCTAGAATATTGCTTTATTGAGAAAGCAAGGTAAACATTGGCACGTAATTCACTCAAGTACACATAGTGGCCTATGCACATGTAGCGGCTGATTTCCCGTCTGTGATTGGTGAGTTTACCTTGAAAAGCGGTCAGTGATTGGCGGACGGACTTACGAACTCTTAATTTTTTAAAGTAGGGCCCCAGGTTTAGCAGGCAAGGCTCACCAGAGACCCCAGCAGGCAAGACTCACCAGAGACCCCAGCAGGCAAGGCTCACCAGAGACCCCAGCAGGCAAGGCTCACCAGAGACCGCAGCAGGCAAGGAGGGCGTGTTCTCGAGGACGCAGTACCAGAGTTGCAGGCCGTCCTCCAGCAGGTAGACGTGGCTGGCATGCGTCGTGTCAGTAGACAAATGCAACACTTTCAGCAGGAAGTCGTGCATCGCAATGCTGTCACGCTGCACAAACATGCCTCATGTTATATGTGCCCTTACTAAACACAATATCAAAGGCTGAATTTTTATCTAAACTAAGTTCATTAAATGCAACACTTTCAGTAAGAAGTCGTGCATCGCAATGCTGTCACGCTGCACAAGGCTCATGTCATCAGTCGGCTTATCAAGCACAATATCATACGCTCAATTTTTATCTAAACCAAGTTCAGTGTCGGTTTGAGAAATCACATCATTAGTATAATTTTTTTTTTAATTTCCGGAATTTGCGTTGGTTATTGCTTCACGCAATCACTAAACATTCAGAAATAATGTGAGCTATGAGAATTTATTGATCATTGCTTTGAAGTATGTTGAATTATTAGCAATTAATACGATTTGGCTTATTAAAAAAATTTAAAAGAAACAAATATTCTCCATGAAACATAAATATGACGAGATGAAGAATATGAGGAATTTGTTGTCAAGAGAGAAAATAACAGGTATCCCTTCAACGATTAACTTCAATGAACTGGAATACTGCTAAAATTAATAAAGTCTTACTGAACCAGCGTGATCTGTACTCCTATGAAATATATTTACAGCTGAAGTGGAAAAGAACCGCCTAAATATATTACAAAGACAAGGACAAAACCCACCCCCACTCCTATGAAATATATTCAGATGTATTACAAAGACAAGGACGGATTATACTGGATGTATTACAAGACAAGGACGGATTATACTGGATGTATTAGAAAGACAAGTACATGACCTACCCCCATGCAGGAGACGAGGTGTGTGAGTGTGGTAAGGATGGCACAGCGTAGCAGGTTGTGGTGTTCACTGTCATGCCACAGCTGAGGTAGGAACTGTACCAGGGGGCCGGCCGCCTCCCGTACCTCCACTCCCATCACTTCGATCAGGATCGACAGCACGTTCAGGATCTGCACGGACATGGATGTGCTTAATAATCATTAAACTTACAATAGTCGCTTGCTATAACCTGACTAGATTGGTCGCCTGCCATACAAGAGTGTGTCATAAATAAATGACACAATATCGCTAAAAAAATATCGTAGCTTTGATAATTGCTTGAGTAAGAATCATATAAAAATAAAGTTCTTTGGCTTAAATATATGAAACCATGAGTTATTAGAGCAATTTAAGATTACATCTGAAATCCACGCGACCGCTCTAAGGTTAATTAGGAATTAGATCAAGTGAGGAGGAGGTATATATATCAAACAATCGGTGTGAATATAACTTGATTCCACAGTAAAAGAAAACGAAATCAAAAAGGTATATCCAAGTGATGCGAGGTTTTGTCAAAATTCCCCACAATAAGTAATAATGAAATTCAATCAGTATCATGCAGTCAAGTTTCATCTTAAATATCGATAAAGGTCTTTATTTAACTGACCAAGCCATGAGTGAATTCCACATTCATGAACAACTTTCCATTCATGAATTCCACATTGAACCAAGAAGGAATAGAAAATGATTACGCTACGGAAGAGTGAAATCTGACCTGCATTTTGACGTCACATTCCTTGGCCTCTTTAAGGAGGTTGAAGAGGAGCGTCACAACTGATGACAAGTAAGGCACGAAACACTTGCGATCAAAGTCAAAGTCATCAATGGCTGTTCTGAGAGTCATGGCTGTGTAGTATCGAACCACAAAGTCAGAGTCGGTCGACAACAAATGAATGCAAGCCTCGTATAACAATGGTCTGTTTTCAGCGGAGAAACGCACATCGGTCCATTGCCCGACCAACCAAATGATGCGACGTCTGAGAATCCGGTAGTTTGAGTCGGTGATTTTGAGTTCGTGTACTAAATGTGTTGTAAAAAGCATGTCAAAATCAACCTCCTCTACTATGTCGAATGATGTCAAGCCTATTGCATTATAGACGGCATCTTTGGACAGCAGTCCTTGGAAGTTAGAAGAGTCCGTCATTTTGACAGCATCGGTCATGAGGGACAGAACTACGCGAGTGAAAGGTTCTCGGTAATCATGAAACATTTTTTTGAACAGGCATTCAGTGGCTGGTCGTAAACTGAACTTCCATGAATCCCCTCCTTCCACTTCAGTGCAAAATCCTTCAGGATCAGATTCCCAGATCTCCAAATCCTCCCTGGACAACAGGAAGTACTGCGTGATAAGCCGATGGCAAATTTGTTCCAACACCGTAGTTGTGAAGAACTCTGACTTTATTCTGTATGCATGCAAGGCTTCAGGGTTTTTGGTTTCTTCAACGATTTTGTTGACTTGATATTCTGGGCAGTCAAGGATACTCTTGATCATGCAGAGGCACTGAACTGTGAACCTCTCATAAAGCACCGCGTTTCCATCGTCCGTGAAGACAAGAGTCGTAACCAGACTCAGCACATTTGCAAGATAATTCAAGAAACAGTACGGGTAGTTTTCTAAAAGTTCAAGGAGGCACTTCATTAGCAGATTGGCATATTTTTCAGAGATGCCTTTTAACTCGTCACCTTCATGTTGCTTGCGAAACAGCAAGATTGCTTTGGATTGTTCGCAGACACTGCGGTAAAATTCTGCGACTTGAGGAACGTCAGATGGGGACTTGAAGCCGTAGGTGGCCATCTGTCGCAGGATCTTGAGGCAATAGTGAGCTCTGTGTAGTGACACTACAATGCCTTCTGGGGCAGACTCGGCAGGTCCAAAGAAATGTTCCACTTCTACCTTATAAAGAGCGTGTAAATCCGGGAACAGCTTGCTTGAAATATCCTGCAATAAAAATGGTAATTTGATGTACAAAATTTGACCACGAAAACTTCTAAGTAAAGAATCATTTGCCACGGCATTGATGATAAAGTGTCACTGAAACTCATCCTATTTCATACAGTACCTATCAAACTTTATGAAGACTTCCACTCATAACATGTCACTACCAGGGGCCATACTTTCAAACTCGCCAAGTGAACGTAAGTACTTACGCACTATTTTCTTGTCTATGATTGGTGGATTTTGCTTGAAAGGCCGTCAATGATTGGCTGATGAACTTACGATCTATCAACTTTTTAGAGCATTTTCTCACTTATGGAAAAATGGACTATTGTGCTCGCCATGTCCGTCCGTCCGTGACTTCACTATTTCGTCGATGAGAAAATGCGCGCTCTGTCACTCACTGCAGTGAGTACTGAGTTATATTTGTTTTGAAAGTATAGGCCCAGGACCACAACTCGACACAAATCTTGCCCATGGCTAGCATTTAAGCTAAATTCTTACTTGGAACTTCCGTCTGTCGTGCATGAGTCTCTTGGATGAGATCTGCTTGATGACGTGATGTAGCGTGAGTAGCGAGCGTTGCTGTAGCTCGCTGCCTCCCCTACCTCCGCCTGGGGGGTCGCCTCCTGTAATACAACACATTTTGTGTCAACACATTTAACGTTAACATAAGCACAAGCAGTGTAACAACGACTCGGAGACGGAGGACGACGAAGGCGGCGCATCAGCGTGACCTTGGACTACGACGTCCTAAACTCATCATAAGGTCATAAGGTCATAAGCACCAGCAGTGTAACACAACACATTTTGTGTAAACACATTTAACGTTAACATAAGCACCAACAGTGTAACACAACACATTACATATTTTAAGTAAACACATCTAACATTAACATAAGCACCAACAGAAACCTATGATGCAGTCACAAAAAATAATGTGTACAAATGCTAGGAACATACACACACTCGTTGAAATAATAAACACATGTACATAAAATAAGACAAATTATCCGCATGTTGCATGATTGAAAGTAAAACGGGCAACCAAAATAAACTGCATGCATTAGGTACTACAATACAAATACCAACGCTAAAGACCAGAAACAGATGCATGTAAACTGATGACGCTTCATACAAATATTGAGGATATGTTCAGGATGAATTTTTGCCCTTCTGTAGGCTTGTTTCGCTATGCTGTTGGGCATTGCTTTTAATTTCGATGATATTCTGGGTTTGAATAGTTCATATAATAACATGTACCTATAATAATATAATATTCAATTTCGAATAGTTCATATAATAATATGGGTGGAACCTGCAACAAAGGTAATGAACCCTGCAGCGATACAAGGTTCAATTCTCTCAAACATATACAACCTGTTGTTCAGCGACTTGATGCGGCTAGTATCTTCACTGGTAGCTAAAACTACCAGACCAGAAGGTCCACAGTTGCCCGGTAGATCCACTAGTTACCCAGTAGACCCACCAGTAGCCCAGTAGCCCCACCAGTAGCCCAGTAGATCCACCAGTAGCCCAGTAGACCCACCAGTAGCCCAGTAGACCCACCAGTAGCCCAGTAGACCCACCAGTAGCCCAATAGGCCCACCAGTAGCCCAATAGGCCCACCAGTAGCCCAATAGGCCCACCAGTAGCCCAGTAGACCCACCAGTAGCCCAGTAGACCCACCAGTAGCCCA